AGTTTTAAGGCCTGTTCACACCAAGAATGATAACTATAAAGATAACGATATTAGCGTCCACACCAGCTAACAATATCGTCTGTTTATTCTAAGCGCACGCTCGCCTGCTGCTTTAAAGCTCGTGACAGCAGGATTGATTATGATTGGCTGTCAATATTTTTAGCGTTCATCAGCTGGAAAAAATCGTTCTGAAAGTGATTCCAACGATATCGTTTCTCTGTGCCTTTATCGTTATAGCTGTGGTGTGGACTCTGCTATTCTTTATTATTGAGAACGATTTTTAGAACTATATCTTTATAGTTATCGTTCTTGGTGTGAACGGGGCTTTACACTTATCCTGTTTTCTTTTTTTTTTGACTCTGCAAAGCCTATTTTTACTTAAATTTTGCACTCCGTGAGTGTTAATTTTGGACCCTGACTTCAACATTTCCCAAACCAACAAAATAACAATCATGTAATATTCCTCTCTCTCAATTTTTACTGGTGTTCCAATGTTTACCCTTCCGCCTGCCAAAAGTGGCACAAGGTTTCTGACCCCTCATTTGTGTTAGCTAGATATTACACGGCATGCATGCAACAAAGCAGTCTCTTGGTATCAAGATGTAAATTCATGAAATAGTGGGCTCTAGTACAGTTTTCTCATTGCCAAAGTAGTGCATTGAGTGTTTAGCAGAAATATGCAAATTTTGCCAGTTAGCCAGTTAGTTGGAATGATGCTTTATGAGTGTCAGTAACCTGGACAGAAGCGACTACATCAATCAAATAACCCCGTGTGCTAACAGATACAAGCCCATGCTTGTTTTAAATGCTGTGATCTTTCACACCCTGGCTTAATGAATCTCAATGAGCTCTCACAGTGTGAGTAGAGCTCATGTCGTACACTACAGTAGCTGAGTGAGTGTTACTCCTCCCCAGCATATTATCATCTCAGAGCTAACGAAAAGTCTAATGAGTGTAATAAGAACGGGGAAACGGAGCACAGACAAAGCTCATGGGATGAGGAGGCTCAACGCTGTGATTTTAACTTTATAATTGCTGTAATTGTGGTGCCTTTGTTTTGTGATGTTTCTAGAATCCAATGATAAACGTTTCAATCTGGACTCAACTGACCACAACGGACCTAAAGAAGCCATGAATGATCTGCAATAGACATCTTCTATTGACAGCTGAACCACGTCATGCTATTAATTTTTATGTCAGTCCCTGTGTAGCGCTTATTAATGAGTCCACTGTACATTAATGAGTAATTTTAGATGTCTCATGGCAGAAGAATTATAGGCTTTATGCTGTTACAATAAAGCCCCCCACCACACAACCCTCCTAACTCGACTTAGCCAGGAAAAAAAAACTAATAACTGTCACAGATTGAGACAAAGGCTATAATCAGGTTCCTGTGTTTTAAAAAATGGCCGTCTCAGTGCTGTCACCAGCTAAAGTGGCTGTGATTTCTAAGATTATTGTGTTGGCTGCTCTTTGTTCACTCTGTATTTTTTCTTTGTCGGATAAGAAAATGCCAAAAAAAAACTAATTACTGTCACAGATTGAGACAAAGGCTATAATCAGGTTCCTGTGTTTTAAAAAATGGCCGTCTCAGTGCTGTCACCAGCTAAAGTGGCTGTGATTTCTAAGATTATTGTGTTGGCTGCTCTTTGTTCACTCTGTATTTTTTCTTTGTCGGATAAGAAAATGCCTGGCTATGATTCATTTACTCTAGTTAAAAGGAAGGGAGGAATGAGGGGGATGGAGAAGGATGAAAAATGAAGTATAAACGAGATTAACTTCTATGGATTAAGGGCCTGTGTGAAACTATTTACAATAGTTATTTACTATTTATTCTAAAAGATTACTGTAGTTTTAAAGGATTGTCACTGTGTATTCTGAAAGGGCAGAACAGGTTCAGCAGCAGTTAAAGGGCTGATTAATTTCTGAGGGAGTGGAAAGCATCCAGTTAGTTATTGCTAAACAATTTACTGGGAAATAATGCAACAGACTCATTTACTGTATAAACAGCATAAATGTCATAAACCTGGGTTTTGTGCTCAAATGCTGGATTCATAATTGCAAGTAATGTGCGAAACATATTCAATTTTACTGTATGTGGAACTAAACAAAATATTTTGTTCCTCGGCAAGAGTGATAGACATATTTTCAAACAATTTATGCCCTGTTTTTTTAAATAATGTTAAATCCTTTTATGTTTGATAATTAAATTGACAGACTTCTTGTGAAGTTAATTACATGTTTCAATTGAATTTAATGGTAATTAAGGATTATTTTATGACAGGCTCACTGTACTGACACATTTCCAGGAATTAATCAGGTTTGTAAACTGAGAGCCATATGCCAATCCAATAGACAATCTAAAGTTTTAGCTGTTACATTTTTTTATTGAGATAGAAGACTGAGAATAATAATAAGTTATTCATATGAAGTCAGGATGAATCAGAAGTAACTGCAGATCTTTTATTCCAAATAGTGAAATACATCACGGTTGTTGATTAGATTTTAAGATCATTTAAAAATGGAGACAAATGCGATCTTGAAGGTACAGGGATTAAGTGGACTAAATGATTTGGAAAAGTCCGGCATGCCTCACCAGGGAGAAGTCTGTTGTTTTCATTTGAAGATCGAGTTAAAAAGGATTTTATTACAAGAAAATTCAAAATTTAAAAGAAATAAAACATGCATGGATGTATAGTTCACAATAAGATCAATGCATTTCAAAAATATTTCATGCTGACTTTAAGTGTCATGCATAGAAGGAACTTAAAGGATTGGGAATTGCATGCATTACTTGTCTGCTAAAATTGTGATATATGAGTATGCTTGTTCTGGAATTTAACTTTTTTAGGGTTGTGCTGCGTATTCACTGCAGTTAACATCAGTGTCGGATCCTAGAGTGTCAATGTTTACTCCTGCAAAGTTCTCATCCACAGTCTGCTCTTTGTTTCAGTGAAAAAAATAAAATAAAAATTCATACAATTGTTCCTCTTCTCATGAAATGCATCCACTAAGCTCAGCGTGACCCACATTTTTAGTTCTTACTTACTCACAGGATGTAATACTAGTCTTGTTGGTTTTTACACTCAAGATCCGTTTGATTTGCTGTTTGAGTGTTTTATTAATGTTTTTTTTGTGTATGTGTGTGTGTCTCACTAGCCTTCGTAACCCTTCTAAATGGTGACCAGGCACAGGATGCCATCCGAACTCTGCACCAGACATCAGTCCGAGGCCGTGACGTCACCGTCCAGCTTCAGCCCACGGACTCTCTCCTGTGTGTCACCAACCTGCCCTACACAGTCACTGCCAGCCAGTTTCAAGAGCTGGTGCGCTCCTATGGCAACATTGAACGCTGTTTCCTGGTGTACAGTGACCTTACGGGCCACTCCAAAGGCTACGGCTTTGTGGAGTACATGAAGAAGGACTCGGCCTCCAGGGCACGGTCAGAACTCTTGGGCAAACCGCTGGGCGACCGTGCACTCATGGTGCAGTGGGCTGACGTCAACCACCTGACCTCTGCTGACCACCTCCACTCCAAGTGCCTATGCGTGGATCGCCTGCCGCTAGACTTTGAAGACTCGGAGGAGCTGGCACACATTTTTTCAGAAAGCTACAAACCAGTCTTCTGCCAGGTGAGATGTGAAGAAAAGTAACAGGGCGTTTGTATTTAGGCAATTCACCTCCACCGACATGGCTGGAAAGAATTATTTTATAGAAAAAATGATTTGGTGAAGTAAAGTTGAAAATATTTCTTAGTCCAACAGAGAAATTATTTCTGTAGGGCTACTGCAGTCCAGCGGAATGTGTTGGTTGCTGCCACTTGCAGTCTTTTAAAGGAATAGTTCACCCAAAAATGAAAATTTTGTCATCATTTAATCACCCTCATCTTTGTTTCAAGCTTGTATGACTTTCTTTATTCTGTGGAACACAAAAGGAGAAGTTTAGCACATTGTTTCTGGTGCTGTTTTTCATACAATGAAAGTGAAAAAATGGGAACTGTCAAGCTTCAGAAATTACATAAAAACACCCATAAAAGTTTGTGAGACAAATTAATTCAGTTTTTGATTCGCTTAAAAGGACCAGCTCATTTGAGTCATTTATATAGCAATCTGGCCACAGTGATTGTGCTGTATGTTTTTGAATCACATAAAAATGGCTTATAAGAGTCATTTGTTAGGGAATCAGACTAAACTTATTGTGCTGAGCTTTTCTGATTCACTAAAGAAATGGCTCATGAGAGTTTTTTTCAGTAATTAGACTACACTGATTGCTGTGTATGTTTTGTTTCACTTAAAAGAACTGCCCTTTAAGAGTCATTTGCTTGGGAATCAGAATACACTGTGAGTTTTTTATTCACTTAAACATTCAATTTGCCAAAAAGAACTGATGAGTTTTTCTGATTCACTTAAAGAAATGGCTCATCTGTTTGAGAATCTAATTGCATGGTATGTTTTTGACTTGCTTAAAAAAACAAGAAGATAAACATAAGAATAATTCTTTCAGAAATATGACGCTGCATTGATTTGAATTTGGCTAAAAAACGGTTTATAAGTGCACTTCATTTTAGAATCCAAGTACTGTGATGGATTTTTCTGATTCAAGAAAAGAATGGCTTATAAGTGTCATTTGTTTGGTATTTAGACTGAACTGTGCTTTGTTTGACTCATTAATGTTCATCAAAAAAGGCTCATAAGGGTAATTAGTTCAGGAATCAGACTACACTTGTCACACATTTCTTCATTAGCATCATTTGGTTCCAGTATTTTTTTGGAACCGTTTCTCAATACAACCCGGGTTTCTGTTCCCAACCTAGTCATTAGAGAAGTACTGATGATCTGATTGTGGCTTTAGAGGTTGAGTTCTGTTGCCAGACTTGGTGACGAGGACTTGTGTGGAAACCCTACCCAGCCTTCACTTCTGTCTCCACTGTGTTAATAAGAGAGAGCTTTTCACCATACAGACCTTCTGCAGAAATCAATACCGCCCAGGAAAACTGCCTTTAAGTGCTGATGCAGGATACGGTTTCCTCAACCTCCATCCTAATCAAAACCATTAAAGCTAAAGGGCAACTTTAGATCTACAGTTAGGGCCAACACCAGCCAACACAGAAATCAATACGCTACACCCTCTCAATCCCATGAAGTTTTGCAGCAGCACTAAACCCACAACATCTGCTGGAGTGTATGAGATGTATCAAACTCTCAGGACTTTGACCTCAAATTGCATCACAGTGCTCTCAGGCCTCTTTAATACACAAGCTTTGCTTCAAGAATCAATAATGGAGCTCTCTGAATATTGCCGCCCCCACTACTGTACAGAAATGAGATAACTCGATGAACTGCGCAAGTGATTCAGCTCATTTCTGTGCAGGGGATGCCGGAAAATAAGATGCAAAATGTGCCTCATGTCGACAGAAAATGTCTCATCAATATTTAGGAGGTTTTTAATGATCTAAAAGCTTCTTTTATAACTGGATGATGATTGGAAAGAGTGACTCTAGTAATGTGTTCTCCTAATTGGAGTTCTTCAACGCAGCTGTTTAGATATATGGAGTTATTTCAGGGTTTATTCAGTCCTTCTGTTGTAATAGCGCAGTGGTTTTCAAACCTTTTCAGTTGGTTGATCACTTTAAAAGTAAAACAAAAACAGTTATTCACCCTTAGTTTCACTTTTACAATTTTTCTAGACTGCTGTTTTGCTCATTTCATTGAAATTTAAATAGACTGCTAATTAACTAGATGTGAATTAAACTAAATGAGCCAGTTGTTCACTATTTATGAAGTTTAACTACACAACTTGCATCCACTAACGCATAGATGATGACATTATTGAAGTGAGACAACAAAAAAACTATATCACAAATTAACAGTTGTTTAATTAATTGTTATGAGTATATTAATCAGTCATTAGTCAAATTGCTCAGTAGTGGTGCTTTCTATAAATTGTATTTATTTGTTAAAACACTTAAATCTTATTCACACACTGCACATTTATACCTGGGATGTCTCAGTTGATCACAAGACACACAAGAACCAATTATGAGGCAGAATATCTCCTTTGTGTTCCTTGAAGGAAAGTCATACTGATATGAGGGTGAGTAAATGACATTTACTGGCTTAAAGTCAGATTAGCTTGATCATAGTTCTCATTTAGAGTGATGACGAGGTCATGTTTGACTCTCCACACATGATGCAAATTAAGTGTATTTCTCAAAACTACTATGGTGTGATATGAAATTACAAAACTCTTGAGTTTAGTTGACAGAAAATGTAAGCGCCAATAGATGTGTTTGAAAATGCATCTTTTTTTTTCTTTCTCACATCCCACCTCCCACTTTGTCACTCGTTCATCTCGCAGTCCCCCTCCCTTCTGTCAACTCTCTTCCTTTTGCCTTTCTTTTTGAGAAAGACAGCAGCAGTTATGTTATTAGATGACTCAGCGCGTCTATGACGGGCATATTCTAACCCTGGCACATATGATGGTCTCACATACACACAAAGACTGACAGCTGAACGCACACACAGTGCATCCAGATATATTTAGGTGGATGTGATTAATAGCAAGTGGAGAGTTTTGATTTTGTTATTGCTGCTTTCTGTTTTTCTTTATCCATTCCTTTCCCTCCCTCTCTTTGTCTGCTCTCTGTTTGTCTCTGTGTTTTTCTTTATGTTTCCTTTCGGCTGATATGAAGGTCAACTCATCTGCTGACCCGTGACCTGACACCCTCAGTAGATTTTGAAGGCTGTCATAACACACCCACAAACAAACATGTCACTTTTTAAGACAACCTCCTTCTTAAAGATGGGATATGAAGATGCACACAGTATATACTTTTAAAATAAGTAACCATGAATGTTTAATGTCTAAAAATATTCATATTGATCGTACAGATTAAGTGATGTGATTTTTAATGCTGTTGCATTATTATTGACCACATGTAGGTCATTTGAAAAATGTATATATCCATTTAGATGTTTGGATTGACATGCTTTTAAATTTATCCCTTATTATTTTGCTGTACATGCATTTTTGCACTGCTTTTATTTTTTATTATATCACTTTGGTTTAGTGCTTGCATGTTGAGTGCATGTATATATCTGTCATTGTTTTATTCCCAGGCTGTGATGTTTCTTCTAGGTATATAAAGATGTTCAACATGATCATTCTGTCCAATTTACAAATACAATTTGTCTGCTTAGACCAGTGTAATTTTACTCTTAGCTATATACTATAATGATATGATATTTTAATTAGAGATGCACCGATTGCAATTTTCTTGGCCGATTCCGATTTTTCGTTAGTGTGATCTGCCGATACCGATTTTTGCCGATTCCGATTTTCTTTCTAATAACTATAATTGACAGCATATACAAACAAAAATCTACTTTTCTTTAACGCAAAGTTTTATTTTCATAAAAAAAAACACAAGTAAAAAGTCGGTAATAAAATAAGAACAAATAAAAAAATGGCAAACAACAGCACAATAAATGCAATAGAATAAAGAGAACTATGAAACTAAGTTTTTCAGGTTAAGTAAGTTTTTATTCAGGAACGAAATACTACAGAAATGAAAGTAATCAAATGTAAAATAACACATCCAGTGTTATTTTAGATTTGATTATACTACAGAAATTAAAGTAATCAAATGTAAAATAACACATCCAGTGTTATTTTAGATTTGATTACTTTAATTTCTGTAGTCTTCATTGTAAAAATTAAATACATATTAATGCTTACCATTAAAGTTATAAAACGTATTCAGTCAAGAGCAGAAAATTCTTTTCTTTTGTTCTTTGATTAACGTGCCTTAATTAGCATCAAGCCTAGTATTCCCATGTATTTCCATGCAGTTATTATTCAGCATTTTACAAATTTATTGAGAAAAAAATTGTATGCAATTGTATATAATTTAT